CGCGGCTTCTCGCATGACCTTTTCGGAACCCCGAGGGCCCCGGGACGGGCCAAGAGGGCCTCGAGAGGCCCCTAAGATGGTCCAAGAGGGCTCCGAGTCGCCGAGCGATCGGACCAGGAGGGCTCTGAGTCGCCTATCCTCATCCCGCACATCGTCATCCTCTTCCCGCTCATCCCTTGCCTCCAATACCTAAGAGCATATCGTGTCTGTCTCTAAGGTTCAAGTGCGTGTCGTGCGTGTGTCTCTAAGGTTTAAGTGCGTGTCGTGTCTATGTCTCTACAGCTGAAGTTGAAGTGCGCCGTTTGGTGTTTGGGGTATGGTGTTCAGGAGCGGCGGCTGGGCCACAGAAAGCCCCAACGGGGCCACCCAGGCCACACAAGGCCCCAACCAACGGGGCCACAGAGAGCCCCCACGGGGCCACCAGGGCCACCAGGACACAGCAAGCCCCAACGGGGCCACAGAAAGCCCCGACGGGCCACGGGAGGCCCCAACGGGCCACCGAAAGGCCTTCTCTGGGGGGTGGAGCACCGCACCTGCGCGGCGGGAAAACTGCCGTCGACGCCGGCGCTGCTTCTGGCTGGAGGGGGGGGAGGGGCGAGGGCGGCCCGCACGCGGGCCTGTTGCCCCCCCCCCCAGGAGCCCCAGACCTGGCCCCAGCTCGACGCGCGCGCGCCCCCCAATACGCCGACCGTGGCACCCTGCACGATAGGACCCACGGGGGTGGTGGGCATAACGTGTCGGCCAGCGGCCACACGGGCGCTCCTCGCGCCAGGGGGGGCCCTCCGAGCGCCCCGCGTCTTGCATGCAAGGCCCGCCCCTGGGCCCGCCCCTGGGCCCAGTATCCACCCTTCCTCGTGCCTTCGCCCGTGGACGCCCGAGATGGGTACTGAAAGAAGGGGTGCAATGCCCAACAGCAAATGTTGTCCCAAACCAACAGCGGCCGCTGTTGGGCAGGCGGCCGTCTGTCTCAAATGGACACAGGCCGCGGCGACACCGACAGCGAGTCCTGTTCAAAATGAGCAGGAGCTGATGTTGGGCAGTGTACCCATTCTTTCCGTACCCATATCGGGCGTCCAGATCGCCGAAAATAGAGGGCTCTTAGATGGGGTCGGAGTAGATGGGGTCGGAGGATCTCGCCGCATGGTCGATGCATCGGCGATGCACTGGCGGCGACGCGTCGGCGACGGCGGCGTGGAGAAAATCGGGTTCCGCATCGAGCTGCATCGGCGATGCGGCGCGATCCTCCGACCCCGTCTCCTCCGACCCCATCTGGGAGGCCCAGGAAGTGACTACCTACCAGACCACCCCAACCCAACCCGAAGACCCGAATTTGACCCGAATTTCGGGTTGGGGGGGGTGCGGGTTCCATGTGTTTTTTCAATGTTCCCCGACCCCCCCCCAACTGGAAATCGAGGATGAATTTGGACCTTCGGGTTGGGTTGGGGTGGTTTGGTGGGTGGTGAGGAAGAGGGGGGACCACGCGCTTGCGCGCTCGGGGTGGGGGGGGCCTTGCAGCCGGCGGTGGCGCCGGCGGGCACGGCCAAGCGGACCGTGACTGGCCCACCGGCATCTGCGGCTGGGGACCTGGGCCCCGCGGGGGGCGGGCGGAGCTGAGCTGGAGGCCAGTGGCGCTTCACCGGCCTCGGCCCCGCAGGGTCTGGTGGCAACTCGGCCTCCCCTGCCATCTGGTCGGCTCTTGCGAATCGACGCTGATCGACGCTAAATCGGCGCTAACCGAGGCAAATCGGCACGATCTCATCGACTTCAGACGCTAATCGACGCTAGTCGACGCTAAAGACTGACTTAAGAGGGTATACCAGGCTCCCATGATTTGCCACCGAAGCCGAGGGGTGAGGAGGAGGAGGAGGAGGAGGAGGAGGAGGAGGAGAAGGAGGGGGAGGAGGCGGAGCCAAGACAAGATGTCCTGCCAACAGTGGCGTCTCCCTACAGGGCAGGCTTGTCCCCTCGTCACCAACAAGAGCCTTGGTTCCACTCCTCTCCTAAGCGTTGGCCAGGGTGGGGCCGTTCCAGGGTGTCGATCCCGTGGATGACACAGCCCGCATGTTCAGGATCCAGGAGGAGCCACCTCGGTCCCAAGCCAGTACTGACATCGGGCTGCCAGCATTCTGAGCACATGCAGTACGACGAGCAGAGGGGCGCAGGAGGAGCAGCAGCAACAGCAGCAGCAGCAAGAGAAGCAAGAGGACAACGCCATCCTTCCCCTCCCTCCCGAGGATCCGTGCGATCTGCGCGTCCGCTCCTGCGGGAGGGCTTTCGGACGCGTGCCGGATCAACCCCTGGAGGTCGGCCAACTTCCACGCGTGCCTCACCGTGGCGTAGTCCGTGTCCAGGAGCCCGAAGCTCTCCTCCTCCCCGGGGCGCTTGTCGCCGTTCAGGGGCCAGTAGGCAAAGCCGACCGAGCGCTCGCGCATGTAGCGCAGCATGTGCTGCCACCACAGGCTGCGCTGGTCCGCGCCGAACTCGCCCAGCCAAACGGGCGCGGTGGCCTCGTCGCCACCCCCGGCCCGCAGCAGGAACCCCCACCGCAACTCTAGCTCCTCCTCAAAGACCTCGTACGAGGCCAGCCGCCGCCAGATGGAGAAGGCGTTGCCGAGCGACGCCGCGACCGCAACCGCTGCGCAGAGGGTCGTCCGCCGGCCTGGCACCTGGCGGCTCGCACTGGCTGCGGGGCCGAGGGAACTGCTGGCCAGACCTTCGTCCCGCACGGCCTCGGCCGGCCTGCCCACAGACCTTCCCCGCACGGCCAGGCCCAGCTCCACCTCCGGCGCGCCCGCCGCCCCGGCCTGCCCGCAGGGCTCCCTCGCGCGCCGCAGCAGCGCGTCGTGGGCCTGGCGGGCCCCCGACGCCACGAGGCAGGACGCGGACGCCAGCCCCAGCGCCGCGGGGGGCACGAGGAGGCAGAGCAGGCCGCCGGTGCCGAGCGCCGGGCGCCGCTCGCAGCCGCTCGCCAGGCCCGCGCCAGCGCTGGCAGCGGCGCGCAGCAGCAGGCTGCCCAGCAGCAGCGCGAGGACGGCCGGGGCGCCCGCGGGAGCGGCCAGCCCGCGCGCGCAGGCGCAGCGCTGGAGCCGCCCCAGGAGGGCGGCGAGCGCGACGGGGCAGCACCCGGGGCCCGGGCGGCGGCCCCGGGGGGTGAGCCGCAGCAGGAGCGGCGCGGCGCCGGCGGCGAGCACGGCGCAGAGGGCGGCGGAGTAGCCGAGCACGACGTGGCGGGCCACGTCGTGGAAGACGCCCAGGTCGCTCACGTACCAGTCGTACTCGTGGGCGGTGTACACGACGCGCGACCTGGAGAGGCCTCCCAGATGGGGTCGGAGTAGACTGGGTCGGAGGATACGGCCGCATCGCCGATACATCGGCAGTGCATCGCCGGCGCATCGGGGATGCATCGGCGACATGGGCGATGCATTGGCGACGCCATCGTGGAGAAAATCGGGTTCCACATCGAGCCGCATCGCCGATGCATCGCCGATGCATCGGTGATCCTCCGACCCCATCTACTCGGACCCCATCTAGGAGGCCTAGACGACCGCAGCTCGGGGACCTCGAGGTGGACCGGGCGCGAGGGCACATCGCACAGAAACATGCTGAAATGGAGTCCTGACACGACGATCAGCATGTTGTCGTTCGCCGCGGCCACCCGCAATGCGCCCTTCAGCGCAGCGCCAACCCAATCCGAAGAAGGCTCCCCCCCGCCCCAGGTCGGCGTCCCGTGCTTCGATGACCGGATCTCGTTGCGCAGGTCGAATCCCACGACGCGCGGGTCGTCACGATAGCGGCTGGCCATGAGCCCCATGGCGTCCAGCCACCTCGACTCGGGGTATCGATCTGTGTACCAGAGGCCCTCTCCGTCGTCCTCGCTGCAGCACCACATTGCTTTCGAGTTGTGGTCGTTCAGGATTACCAGCAGGCCTCGTCGCGTCAGCGCCGCGACCGTGGCGTCGAAGACCTCGAGCGGGGAGCGTCCCTTCAGCTCGGGGTTGGCGGCCAGGGCCTCCTGCTCTGCGGGCACGCGCACCAGGCTCCCGAAGACGAGGTCCAGGCTGAACGGGAGGCGGACGCAGTTGAACCCCATCTCCACGATCCTGCCGCTGATGCTCTCCGCGCTCCTCACGCCAAGGCCGTTGACGACCATCTGCTCCATGTGGGCACCGTACCAGTTCACGCAGAACAGCGGAACAACCTCGCCACTCTGGTGGGAGGGGCTCGAAGGAAACGCCGAGTCGTCTGGTCGGCCGAGGGTCTGTGTACAGACGCGCTAGATTCTCAACCTGTGGGATGACGGAGCGTCCATGCGCCGCAGCGCCCCCTTATCACGTTAAGGCGTGGTAGGATGCAAAGTGCTGTCTGGTAGGGCTTCTGCAATCTTCTGAGGGGCCCCCTCCAATCGGCTCACGGAGTATTGCATGCATCGCCGCCCCCCCTCCCGAGGCGATTATCCCCCATAAACAAAAAGTGTGTCCGCCCTCCTGGGGCCACAGACCCTCAAAAAAACACGATACGCCCGCGCTCACGAGGCCACGATCCATCGCAGCACAAACAAGAACAGTGGATCCGCGCTCCCGAGGTCGGGATCTGGAACAGAAAAAGGGTCCGCGCTCCCGAGGACACGGGCCCCAGTAAACAAGGTTCCGCGCTCCCGAGCTTCCAAGAGGGCACAGACAGGCAACCAAGGCCGCCAAGACGGCACGATGCTTAGGTCGGGCATATCCTCCTGCAGGCGGAGTTTGGAAACAACAGTAAAGCATAGTCAAACATATGCTTCACAAAAATTGTCAAAAACCAGGGAGAAATCATCCCCCATATGATATGTTCACTATTTTCGAATACCCCTCAACTCAACTCGCAGACGGTCCAGGATGGCCCCAAGGCGGTCCAATATGGCCCCACGACTGCCCAGGAGCCCTCGCCCCGAGACGGCCCGAGAGGGCCACACGACGACCCCCCCTGTTGGCCCCGAAGGGTCCCAACTCCCAGCTTATCCGTGTGGTTCAAAGATTTGGCCGTCTCCACCTGTTCGCACGTCCTGTACAGTCGGGGCGTTGACCTAAGGAACCCTAAATGAGGAACGAGGCCCCTTTTTTCCATAAGTTAACCTTCGATTTCCTGCCGAAAACTCAAGGAAAGCCTGCGGCAAGCTGTGGAACACTTAAGGAACGCGGAGCCCCTTCCCAACGAAGAGGGTTCCCTCTTCAGGGCCCCGCCTGCAGCTCCAGACGGCCCGAGGGCCCCAATGGGGCACCGAGCGTGTCAAGGAATCCCCCCCTGGAGGGCCCAGGGACAGTCCAAGAGGTCCAGGAAGGTCCCTGGACAGCCCAGCATGGTCCCCAGGGAGCGCCAGGAAGGTCCCTGGACAGTCCAAGAGGTCCAGGAAGGTCCCTGGACAGCCCAGCATGGTCCCCAGAGAGCGCCAGGTTGGCCCAAGAGGGCATCCGAAAAGGCCCAAGACGGCCTCAGAGAGCCCCATCGACGGCCCAAGACAGGCCCAGGGACACCCCAACGACAGCCCCAATGGACCCCCCAGACGGCCAAGAGGGCCCCAAGACGACCCAAGAGAGCCCCAAGACGGGCCAAACGTGGCCCAAGGGATCCCCGAGACTGCCCCACAGGATCCAAAGAAAGGACGGAAGAAGTGGGGAGACGACGAAGACGCTCAAACCTCGCCCGACACGAGCGTGTGGCACATGCTCTGGCTCTCGCAAGCCTCTGGACACGATGTCTCGCACGTTACACCTTCCTGCGCGCCCCCAGAACAGTCGCCACTCCCTGTGCCGAGGTCGCACGGTGGCGGGACTTGCCGCCGGCAGCCTGATGCACCGAGCCCCTTCGCAGAGTTCGCCGACCCCCCGCCCCACCAAACGACACGGCCGCTGCATCGAGCCCCTCCGGGCTGGCCCACGACGTCGCGCCCGCGCGTGCGCAGCGGGAGCGCACCCGCGGGCACCAGCGTGTGGAGGGCGCCAGCGCCGCCCTGCGGCGGCGCGGCCCGCGCGCCCAGCAGCAGCACCGCCCATGCGATGCGCGCGCCGCCGCGCCTCATCCCAAGGCTGCGGCCCGTGCCCCGCAGCGGCGCGCGCGCCGACCCCGCGCCGCGCCGCCGGCATGCGCGGCCCGACGGGGCCCCGCTCCGAGGGGGCTCGCGGCCAACTAGACTGGGCCAAAATGGCCACGGGATCTGCCCGCCCAGATGCTGTTCTGACCACTACTGCTACGCCTTATGCCTTCAATGCCACACCCACCACCACCACTACGCACTGGAACGCCAGCCTACTACTACTACTACTACTACTACTACTACTACTACTACTACTACTACTACTACTACTACTACTACTACTACTACTACTACTACTACTAACTACTACTACTACTACTACTACTACTACTACTACTACTACTACTACTACTACTACTATACTACTACTACTACTACTACTACTACTACTACTACTACTACTACTACTACTACTACTACTACTACTACTACTACTTACTACTACTACTACTACTACTACTAACTACTACTACTACTACTACTACTACTACTACTACTACTACTACTACTACTACTACGACTACTACTACTACTACTACTACTACTACTACTACTACTACTACTATGCTACAACGACTTTTACTACTACTACTACTACTACTACTACTACGACTACTACTACTCTTACTACTACTACTACTACTACTACTACTACTACTACTACTACTACTACTACTACTACTACTACTACTACTACTACTACTACTACTACTACTACTACTACTACTACTACTACTACTACGGTTAGCATTATTACTACTACTACGACTACTACTACTACTACTACTACTACTACTACTACTACTACTATTTCTACTACTACTACAACTACTACTACTACTACTACGACTACAACCACTACGATTACAAATGCTGCTACTACGGCGACGACTACGACTACTACGACTACTACTACTACTACTACTACTACTACTCCTACGACTACTACGACTGCGATTACTACAATTACTTCAACTACTACGACTACTACAACTACTACTACGACTACGGCTACTACTACTACTGCTGTTACTATGACTCGTACTACGACTATTGCTAATACCGCTACTACTACTACCTCTACTGCTACTTCTCCTGCTACTACGACTACTACTACTACTACTACTACTACTACTACTGCTACTACTACGACTACTACTACTACTACTACTACTACTACAGCTACTACTACTACTACTACTACTACGACTACTACTACTACTACTACTACTACTACTACTACTTCTACTACTACTACATCACGACTACCCCGCCAACCGCAAGTACTACAACTACTACTACTACTACTACTACTATGAATACGAGTACTACGACTACGACCACTACTACTACTACTACTACTACTACTACTACTACTACTACTACTACTACTACCATTACTGCAGGGTCCTACTACGACTACGACGGCA